GTATTTTCACCAAAAAAAAAACGGTTGAGAAGTTAAAGGGTTGACATATTGTGGGGTTGTTAACCAGTGTCATAAAACAGTATGTGTAGTACTGCTTTATGAGAAACTATTTGTTTTGTAAGCCTTCACCTGAAGTACAATAAAAAAAAATTGGAGGTAATGGTTTATAAGCAGGCTTCTATTTGCTCCCAAGCCCTTTCGTTTAAAAACGAAGTGGAGACTAAAGAATCTGAGCTTCAGTTTCCCCATATGTAAAATTTCTTGTTTGAGTGAGATAAGTCATGCCAAGGAGCTCGGACGAGGTAAGTCTCTGATGTCTACCGCGGGCACTAAGTTATGTATGGCAGTGGACAACTTTCTGTCCGTGGCTGAGCCACAGTCTGAGGGTCAATGTTTTGCCGCATTGGGCGTTACTTCCAGACCTTCGCCGCGGAGGCCGCCAGAGGGCGCCGTGGCGCCCGAGCGCAGAGGCGGTGGCGCGGCGCGGTCCCTCCCGCGGCGTGGTCCCTCCCGTGGCGTCCCCGGCGTCCGCAGCGTTCTCGGCACCGCCCTGTCCCAGCCTCCTCTGCGGGTAAACAGACATGGCCGGCGAAGGAGACCGGCAGGACCCTGCGCGTAACATGGGAAACCACCTGCAGCTTCTGCCTGGTAACCGCCCGGGGTGCCGCCGGCAGCAGGAGGGGACGAGGCCTGGGAGCCGCGAGCGGCGCGGCGCGGCGGGGCTGGGAGGGCGGGGTGGGGCATCGGCCGCGCGGTCTGGGACTGGAGCGCCGAGGCTGTCCGGGCCCCGGGGGCCGCACCTGGAAGCGGCACCTCGTCAGGCCCCCAGCCTGCGACCGAGTCACGGCGCTTCGCCACCCTGCTTGGTCGCCTCGGGCTGTGGGCGAAGGTTTTGGGGAGTGTTCCCTCCCGGGAGCAGGGACCCGGTTCTCTTCATCCTCTGTGTGCCCTGAGCTTGGCTCCAATAAATGCACTTAAATGATGGGGCAGGTGTGGGACCGAGTCAGATTAGCAGCCGTGACTTTCTCTGGACTTCTTCCCTTTAACAAAAGTGACAGCTGACATGTATTAAGTGCTTGCCACATGACAGGCCTTGTAATAAGCACTTTGCTTGCGTTTCTCCGTTTCATCCTTTGCGCATCACTATTCTGATCCCGATTTGGTAGGTGAAAATTTGATTGTCAGATTAGTTAGGTGACTCGACCAAGGTCGCACAGTTGCAGAGCCTGGACTCCAACCCTCATCTGTCTGACGCCATAGCAGGTGTCTCTTAACCACTTAACTACGGAGATAGTGACCTGGTTTTCTTAGGCATGTAGATAAAGCACGTGGTAGAATACTTTTAACTAGAGATACTCCTTAGAAACATGCTGATAAACTCAATTTTCTCTTTTTTGTATGTTCTGTGAAAATTTAGACCTTGGCCTTGCATTGGAATACTGGCCAGAAAAAAAAAAAAAAAGTATGATATACTTGTACAAACTTATCTTGGAAAGTTTCAAGAGATGCTTTCCAACGGATGTTCACCCAGACTGGGACTATTAACTGAGCCCCTTCACATATGCCAGGCAAGTTGTTAGGTGTTGGGAAGATGAGAAGAGGTATGATACAAAGTGTGATGCCTGAGGAGATGTTTAATCTCGATGAGGCTGCTGAGAAGATAACCAGCAGAAGGCAGTTGATTTAGGGCCACATAAGTGAATGCTGTTATGGTCCTTCAAAGGGAGGGATTGTTCGGGGGGCAGAGGGATTGGGGAAAACCCTTGTGGTGTGGATCTTGGGACATCTAAATGCATGTGCTTAGTATTGTTGTTGGTTGCCTCGAGTTGATTCTCACTCATGATGATCCCATGTGTGCAGAGTAGAACTGCGCTCCATAGAGTTTTCAAGCATGGGTTCGAACCGGTTCTGGTTCGAACCCCTGCTGAGAATTCTGCATTTCACTCCAGGTATACTGAATCAGAATCTACATTTTAGCAAGATCTCTGAGTGATTCTTTAATAAATTTTGAGACTCACTGCTCTACTAATAGTTCTCAGAATTGGTCCCTAACCAACAACATTAACACCACCTGGGAATTTGTTAGAAGTGCAGCACATTGTCAGCAGTGGTTCCAAAAACCAGTTGAAGCCCTGTTTTCAAGGCTGTGACCTTTTGGAAGCGGATCACGAGGCCTGTCTTCTGAGCAGCCTCTGAGTGGGTTCAAACCACCAACCTTTCGGGTAATGGTCAAGCACTTAACCATTTGTGCCACCCCAAAAAAACTGAAACCAAACCCATTGCCACTGAGTCGATTCCAACAGGAACCTATATGCTTACTATTGTCCTTAGTAGCCACGAGTCAGTCCCGATTCGACCCACACACAAGAGAAGGAAACGCTGCCCGGTCCTGCACCGTCCTTAAAGTCCTTGCTACGTCTGAGCCCATTGTTGCAGCCACTGTGTCAGTCCATCTTGTTGAGGGTCTTCCTCTTTTTTGTTGACCAACCATGATGTCCTTCTCTAGGGACTTGTCCATCCTGATAACATGTCTAAAGTGAGATGAAGTCTCACTAGCCTCGCTTCTAAGGAACATTCTGGCTGTACTTCTTCTAAGACACGTTTGTTCATTCTTCTGGCAGTCCATGGTGTATGTTCCTTGCTATGTTTGAGCCCATTGCTGAGTGCATGCTTAGTATAGCATTGTGAAAAATAAAACCTAAGAGGGAGGTTGGAGAGAGGCTGGGTCTCTGTTATTGGGGAGCTTGCATCTCTTGCCAGTGGGGTTTGGAATTTTTTCTGTGGGTTGTCAAGAGCAATTGCAGGTTTCAGGCAGTTGCCTAAAGAAAGCTATGCTTTGAGGATTAATTTGTCCACTGGGAGTAGCAGGGGTTGGAGGAGGAAGAGACTGAATGCGTGCTCATCGTATAGGAGGTATGTTTTCTATAAAAATAGACCACAGTCAGAGTCAGTAGTTGTTCCTGAAGTCAGCATAGCTGAGTTGACATAAACATAAGTGTGTCGGCTTCAACTGAAGAGCTGAAGTGTTTTTTCAGAGACATCAGTTCCACTCTTTATGTGCCAACCCCAGTGTTCCAGGGAAGATGGTGACTAGAAGAGGGAGGCTACTGATGTTCTGTCGGCGTTCACGTGGTGCTCCTGCACGAGATGAGTCATCACACTTTACCCTGGTAGCTCTGAGAAGACACTGTGTGTTTTGTTGGCGGAAAAAAATCAGAAATAGGAGAGCCAAAAGATGTTGATGTAATAATAATGCTTTTCCCAATCATATACGAGTTTTATTTGTAGAGAAACACATGATTGCCCATAAACCCATTTAATGGGTGTGTTTGTTTTTCATTTTTGAAGAGTAATCCTCTTAAGTGCTAAGGAAATAGCTTAACATTGAAGATTCAAAGAATCTATCCTGGCCAAACAAAACATTAACAGATAAATATTGCTGAGCAGGGGGATGTGCGTTTTAGCCATATATTTTAGGAGGAAGGCTGCTATGGATAAGGAAATCATTGAAAGACTAGACAACCTTTTCAGTTAAAAGTGAGAACAGTTAAAATATAATTTTTAAAAACATGAATTCTAGCCTTTGAGGTAATAGTCGATCTTTTAAACTCCCTGTTAAGGAACAGTAGAGCAATGAAGGGGGTTTCTTCCCCTGCAGAGTGAAAGTCATGCTGTTAGAGTTGTAAAAACAAGGACTTAGAATATTTTTCTCATCACTTTAGATTTTTTTTGTCTTTTGGTAGGAACTACTAATCAAGCAAACACAAAAATGTATGAAGTGTTATATCATTGACTGTTTGAATGTAAGTACTTATGTTCTTCTCGACAAAGCTTATACCCCCAGAATTCTTACGAATAGAATAGAAAGTCCAAGGCATTTATGGTATTGAAAAACATTTCTACCTTAAATCAGGAACCTAGCTAGAGGTATTTTGATTTAAATAATGATATGTACAAAGGAAAAATGACTATTTTGTATTGGCACTTTATTTAGACATTTACTTGGGGCATTTAAAAATATATGAAACATTCCATGGAAGAATCCTGATCAAAAGGGGGAAAATTTCATATTCTCATGGATTCTAGACTTTCTGGAGCCATGGAGGATGGATAAACCCCTGAAACTACTGCCCTGAGATAATTTTTAAAGCTTGAACCAAAAATATCCCCTAAAGTCTTCTTGAAACCAAACAGTAGTTTAACTTAACTAGTAAAAAAGAGGTCTGCCTGGAGCATTATGCTGTTTTAAGAACTATCTGTATGGGATCAAATTGACAACAGCAACTCCAAAGATTAGACAAGAACCTTAGGAGGTGGTGAGTTTATATTAATGAGGGAAGAACAACTCAGAAGAGGGTGAGAATGGTTGCCCAACTAGAGAATGTAATCCATGTCACTAAATTGTACATGCAGAAACTGTTGAATTGGTGTATGTTTTGCTGTGCATATTCCGAACAACAAAATAAATAAAATTTGGGGAAAAAAATACCTGGAACATGAGATTGGGAATGAGATTCAGTAAGTCTTTATAGTCTATCTAGGCCAGGGTTTCTCAACCTCGGTACTATTGACACATCGACCCAGATAATTCTTTGTTGTGGGGGCTGTCTTATGCATTTGTAGGATGCTTAGCAGCATTCCTGGTCTCTACTCACTAGATCCCCCCTCTTGTGACAGCGAAAAATGTCTCCAGACATTGCCAGATGTGCCCTGGGAGGTAGAATCACCCCCAGTTGAGAACTGTTGGTCTAGGCTAGGAAATTTACCCAGAGCTGGCATAACAAGAGCAGACTCCCACTTTATAGCACCTATAGCATAGCTTTTTCTAATCTTAATTGATGGCATAAGCAAAGAGTTTTGATTCATCATCCTTTTTAGTAACATCTGATTTTTAAAGCAGACCAGCTTAGTTTTCATAATTTAAAAAATTTGGAGAAAGCCTTCTAAGAGATTTCTTTAAAAATATGTTTTTTTTATGTTTCATGCAACTTTATTTTTTAATTTAAAATTACAAAGGTTACAAACATACCATTTTTAAATAGTACAGTGACAGCCGAGGAAGTAGTGTCACTGGAAAAATGCTCCAAAATTCTTTCTGCAAGGTTATAAGGATATCTTTTTTCAATATTAACTGATCTGTCTTCCTTTCTTTCTTCCCTCCCTTTTAAAGTTAAGAGTTTGAAAGAAGCTTAGAGATTGTCTTGTTCAAGCCTGTCATTTTTCAGATGAGGAAACTGAGGTTTAGTCAGGTGGACTGAGTTATCTAAGGTATCAAAAGTAGTTAGTGGCAGGGAAGGAGAAACAAATCTCCCATAGAGAAGAATTTCAAATAATGTATGTGGATAATCCCTTCTCAAGGATGTGAAGCTTAACTCCTCACCCCTTACCCCTTACGTGTGGATGGTGCTTGGTGATTTGCTGACATACACCACCTCAGCCAGGTGATCAAGGTTACATTGGCAGGGATAAGTCAGGTTGATGGTCTGCACCCTTGATACGATATGATGAGAATGGCACTTTACCTCTGTGGTCTTCTTCCCCAAAATACATAACGCTTGTCTAATCATGAGGAAAAATATCAAGCAAATCCCAGTTGAGGGACACTCTACAAAATACCTGACCAGTACTTTTCAGAACTGTCAAGGTCTTAAAAAACAAGGAAAGTTTGAGAAACTGCCCTAGCCCAGAGGAGGCTAAGGAGATATGATAACCAAATGTAATGTGGTATCCTGGATTGAATCCTGGAACACGAAAAGGACATTAGGTAAAAACTAAGGAAATCCAGATAAAATATGGAGTGAGTTATTAGTAATGTATTGATGCTGGTTCCTTAGTTGTGACAAATGTACCATAGCAGTGTAAGATGTTAACTATAGCCAGAAGTGGATGTGGGGTATACAGGAACTCTCTGTACTTTCTTTGTAACTTTTCTGAAATCTAAAACTATTCTAAAATTAAAAAAAAAAAAAAACTGACTTAAAAAAAAATAAAAGTAGTGGCATAGCCTTCTGGCTGCCTCTTTACAAGGCCTTAGTGATCACCATGTGTGTGGTATTCAGTAGAACCCCTGTTCTCTGAGGCCAGAATCCTCATGAATGAACTGTGTATTTGAAAGAGACTATAGCTTTTGACAGTTTCATGTATCTGGTTTTTTTCTTATAATAATAGGTTTTACTTTCACAGCAGATAGTGAGGAAGAAGATGAAACCGAGATGGAAGTTGAAGACCAGGATAGCAAAGAAGCTAAAAAACCAAATGTCATAAATTTTGACACCAGTCTGCCAACATCACATACCGTATGTAATTTTAGTGACACATGTAATGTAAGAGATGTAATACATTTAACTATAGATAAAAAAGTCCTACAAACATGTGACTGATTTTAGCATTACTGGCTCTTACCTCACACCAGAAACTGTGGACGAGGACATTTATAGGTAGTAATACTATGTATAATTCTTTGAGAAATTGTTGCTATGCTTGTGTTTTTACTAGTAATTGATCTGCTAAAGTATTCCTTATTCTCTGTTACTAGCAGGTACCAGGGTGTTATTTAACACATTGACATTTTATACTTGGCATCTGTGATATTTGGACATAGAGACAAGTTTACCTTAATCAGAATAAAGTATATTAAACTTAAAAAATGCTCTTGAATGTGTGTGTTTGTGGGAGATTCTTCACAAAACATTGGAAGTTCTACTAACAATCAAAATTTAATATTTCCCTGGGGTGTTTCTGCACCAAGTTTATCACTTAAATAAATATTTGCACCCTCCATTTATAGTTTTTTCATCTGATTTGCTCTTTAGTCTGTTGAGCTTATATTTTTATTAATGTCTCTAATGACACTGTACCATATGCGTGTTCTTAAATAGTACCTGGGCGCTGATATGGAAGAATTTCACGGCAGGACTTTGCATGATGACGACAGCTGTCAAGTGATTCCGGTTCTGCCACAGGTGATGATGATCTTGATTCCTGGGCAGACGTTACCTCTTCAGCTTTTTCGGCCTCAAGAAGTCAGTATGGTGCGGAATTTAATTCAGAAAGATAGAACCTTTGCAGTTCTTGCATACAGGTAAAATATTCGAGTGAATTTGCTTAACACAGTCCCTCTCATGTGTGTCACACCAGAGGTCAGTGTTGAAGCCAGAGCCCACGATTATTCCATACAGGGGGTTAGTAAAGAATCTTGTTGATTAACAATTTGAAAGTGCAATACGGAGATCTTACTATTTTCATTACCATCTAAATCAGACATTTACCATCACACACAATTGAACTTCCTGGTATTTGAAATTTTTTTAATCATTAATATTTAATGTTAAACATTTCTAGAATCTTATTTCAGGAACTATCTTTATTTAAAGAGAAAGAGGGCTTTTACATTTTAATGTAAAGGATTAATTTTCCAAAAGAATGGCTTGTTCTTTCTTTCTTTCTTAAAATTCATAAATTGTACCATTACTAACCAGTGGTAAATTGAAACTGAGCTGCAAGTATCACCTGGCAAATGGAGGCAATCAACGGTAGGGGTAGGAAATTACAGGACATTCCCACCCCAGTGCAGTGCTGCTTTAACCACCAGAAATGATGTCTAACAAGTGAAAGAATGTTTGGTTAGGGAAGTCAGAGTTTGAACCCCTTTCAGGCCTAGATCATTTTCGATGACTAGAAATCTGTTATCTTCCTAAAGTGCTCACTGTATATATAATCCCTCATGTGATTTAAAAATAAGTAAAATGATAAGAGTTTTGCAGTGAGGGCTGATTGCTATAAATTTTTTCCCATATGTATTGCTTTTGCCAACTTTGCATATCTTAAAGTCAAATTTTCAAAACTTTTTCTTTTTAAAATTTACCTTTGAAGTAATGTACAAGAAAGGGAAGCACAATTTGGAACAACAGCAGAGATATATGCCTATCGAGAAGAACAGGATTTTGGAATTGAGATAGTGAAAGTGAAAGCGATTGGAAGACAAAGGTTCAAAGTCCTTGAGCTAAGAACACAGTCAGATGGGTAAGAAATACCTTGTATCTTAAAGCTGTGTGGACATCTTATAATGAAATAGTTTTCTTTTTTCTATTACACCTTTCACAGTTTGTTAACTTTTAACTAGTGTTTCTCTTCCCCTTTGAAGGTATAGCCCAGTGGTTTCCAACCTTGCTGTGCATCAAAATCACCTGCAAAGTTGTTAAACTATAGAAGCTTGAGTTCCAGCCTCATCTCCCCCCTCCAGAGAGTGATGTACACTCACGTGAGGCTGCAGAGTCTCTTTTGAAATGATTTCCAGGCGATTCTGATGCCCAGCCATGTAATGTAAACCCAGAATGAAGTGTCATTTGGAGCATGGCTTCTCTTCCGAGTGTCGGGGGTCGGGAGGCCAGGAGGCTTGTGAGTTGTGCTGGCTCACCAGTCAGCTGGTGTTTGTTTGCAGCATTCCAATGATGTTAGGGAGTCGTGGGTTATAGCTGCCAACTGCTCCATTTTTATTTCCATCTCCAGTGTGTATTTTATATCACCCATACGTGCCATTTACATAATAAGTGCTCAAATTCTTTTGCTTCTGTAAACTTTATATGGTTTAGAGATTCTCTTGAGTAGTCTGTGGTAGCAGTAATTCATTTTGGCATGGCAATCATGGTTAGGGTCTTTTACAAGTTCAAGGAATACTCACCTAATTTAAACAAACAAAAAAAAATCTAGTTTACTTTATTCTTTAAAAAATTAAAACAGCAATTTTTTGATGATGGTGTGTTATCTCTGAAGGCAGTGGTTCTCAACTCTGGCACATACGAATCACCTGTGAAGTCTTGTAAAGCTAGAGATTCTTGGGTTCCTCCCCAGTCCTAGTGAATTGGTTTCTGATCTACAGCCAGAGTTGAAAATCTTGTCAGACCTCTGTGTTGGCAGGTGATATCTTCTGACCATATGGAAATACAGAGCTTTTTATTTATTTACTTAGTTTTAATTTAATAAAACAGAATGGGAGTTGCATGAGGGCAAGAACTGTTGTCTGTTTTGTTCACATAGTGGGCACTCAAAAATATTATTGAATTAATATTAAAATACAGTTGGATCAGGCAGCCTTTAGGGGCTAGAGAGAGCTTAGAGCAATGTGGGATGGGGTTGCCAGAGCCCTTGGGGGTTGTAGTCCTTCCTTCCTGGTAGTCCCCCAGAACATTCGCTGTGCTTATCTCTCACAGCACTAATGACATTATACTGTCATTATAGGATTGACATTTGTCTGTTTCCCTCAGTAGATAAGCTGCTTGAGGACAGTGACTGAGACTTAATTTGTGTCTACGTTTAGGACAGTGGTGTTACATGAATGAATGAAAGAATGGCTTCCTAAGGGCTTTGCACTGTGTTATTAGCAAGCTGTTTTGCTACTGTGGGTTTTGCTAAACAGGTCCCTATTTCAAGTACTTCCTATCCTCATGCTTACCAAATTTTGATTATTTGTGAATACTCTTTTCCAGAAACCATAAAGGAAAACTGACTTGTGGAAAAGTGTATTTCTCAGACTGTCTTGACATCAGTGACTTTTGGTTGTGGAAAATCTATTTTGAACACAAGATGGCAGTAGACCATTAACTCTGAAAACAGGTCAAGGAATATACAACGTTTGACTCTAGTAAAAGATTATCATCAAACTGGTAGGGCTGGAAAAAGACTTGGAAAGGGCACATTCTTTCTAATATTCCATAGGACCACTATTAAGACCTCTCACAAACGTGAGTCTGTCTTAATTTAAAAGTCGTCCCTGGAATGAGACTTCTGTGGCTGCCACTGCCGTCTTATAACTGCTGCCTTCACTAGAAATGGCGAGATGAAGAAACCTTGAGATAATTGAGTGCAGTCTCCTCTTTTCCCAAACAAGGAAACCAGATACTGCAGAGGTTAAATAATTTGCCTAAAGTCATACAACCAGTAAGCGGCAGAGCCAGTTGATCCTAGGTCCCCTGACTCCCGATCTCGTGCTCTTTCCACTGTCCCAAAATTCTTACATAGCTCATTTGAAACTCAAGCCAGTTTCCCTTTCCTTTTCTCTCATAAAGCAGTATGAGATAATAAATTTGTTTTCATCATAAATGACCCTTCATATGTAAAATATATGATGCTACTTTCTAACTTGACCTAGGCTAAGAGTCTGTTTCTTTGACATCTTCTAAACATATGGAAATTTATGATTTTTTTGAAATTAAAAAATAGAAGCATATCAGTGAATCATTGTAGGACTCTTCAGAAATTCCTGAGTATTTCTTAGCACGTACAGAGGAGGAGGGGATTAATACCATATTTGGAATTACGAGAGACTTCCTCTTAACTGTCATAATTGACACCGTAGCTGTTAGTTAAAAAAGTTAATTAAAGCCAGAAATAATAAAAATTTATACATATATCCCTTAAACATTTTATTTTGACTTAAAATGTATAAATGTGCATTCACTAACTTCTCATTTGATGGAGAGACAAGGTCTTGTCTTTGAACGGGATCTGCATATTCAAAGAATTTGAATTGGATCTTTCTCGCATAAACCATTTTCATTGTGCATCATCTATCTGTAGTTTACATTCAGAATTTTTCTTTAAAGAGAGATTCTAAAGATAATCCACAAAACAGTTTAAGTACAGAATTTTTTTTTTTAGATTTTTGGAATTTTTTCCTACTATTAAAGTTGTCTGACAAGGATGCCCTTTATCACCACTCCTATTTAACATTGTGCTGGAAGTTCTAGCTAGAGCAATAAGGCAAGAGAAAGAAATAAAGGGCATCCAAATT